AGAGAGAGAGATAGATAGAGAGAGTCAGAGACAGAGAGAGAGAGAGAGAGAGAGAGAGAGAGAGAGAGAGAGAGAGAGAGAGAAAAAGAGAGAGAGAGAGAGTAAATCCCTGTGATCATCCTGTAAAAGTTCATTAAACAATAGCTTCTTCTTGATTATAAATAGAATAGCCGAAGAGATCTTTAGCAAGTGATATTGTTCTTTTCAGTTTATTCACGGATAATATGATTCACGCCAGTCACAATGACTTAGAATATTGAGGTTGTTGGAGTTACCTTTTGAAGAATTGTAAATCCTTTTCAGAATATTTGGGCGATTCACACCCCCTAGGCCCCAACTATCTTGGCTATCGATAGAATGTGGCTGCGGCTGATTGTAAGGTTGATTTTTAGCTGAAATCTGTCATATAATGTCTTTTGATAAAAACATTTAAGCCATTGAGGTAGCAGAGTTATGCTTCGTTAAATGCAGACAGCAGATTTTTGAGTTATTGTTAGGATATGTTGTATGCAAACTTCGGCTTTAGCTCCCCTTGCATAGGCCCGGTAAAAGCTTTTTGGGGGCTTGAGGTACAAAGAAAATAAGACCTACCATGACGGTATATAAACTGCGATAATTGTTGATAATGTTTCTTATGAATTATGCTAATTATGATAATTCATGCTAATTTAATGACAAAGGATACTCCAGGCCTTCAGCTTCCTGTATGCTACATTGCTCGATTCCAAATAGGATTTAAGTTTTTAAGAAATCATAACTAAATGACTAAAGATGTGTGCACTTTAACAAGTTTTCTTGGATTCAAAATCTGCCTAGCTACAACCTCCTTTGACCGAATATTGACTACAACAAGATTCCGAAGCAATAATCATCAGAAGTCAAAATATATTGCACTACATTTAATCACGTTAATTTTGCTTGATGATGAGCAGTATTTTCATACCTTCATAAACCTCAAGCTCGCATACTTGAAGATATTCTTGCCTGTTCAAAAAGATACTGACGTAACGACCCATCAGGATCTGTGGACAATCGAACTTTTTCAACTCTCCTCTGTCCAGTATCCCGTCTTTCACACATAGTGCATTGTTTTGTCCGCCATTTGAACTATCATCCCCAACACTGACATCGAATGGATTGATTCTTTCAGGATCCCAAGCTGCAGCATTCTTTATTCGGACAAATGTGACTGCAGCTTGCCTTGTAAGATCCACTTGCCACCAGGGACTGTAGTTCAGTTCTGTGACACTGCATCGCTCCCAGTCCCAAGTTGGGTAACCATCATTTCCATAGCTGGCAACTAATGGAATTTGATATATGATGGAAGTTGATGACTGCAAGGACGGCTTCTTATAAGCGATATTCTCTGTTGATAAAAAAATCATAATTAGTATGAATAATACGGACATACGCTGCAAATAGTCATGAAAATCTCGTATCTCTAGCGGAATCTTATTGCTTTAACTGAAATTTTTGAAAATATTGGAAATTTTTCTTGACCGGCCTAGCTAGCACGGGGAAGGCCGATCACGACCCTACTGCTAATGAATCAGGCGATTAGCTATCTGTTAGATGATATTCTCGAGATGGTATAACAGAAAATTATAGCAGGATACCCAGGGATGTCGAAGACTAGCTTGGAGGTGCAAAGATTATTAAACTCTGAAAGATGAATTGACCTATAGAGAACTTTGACATAGAGAAAGAGATAAGCTGATTTCATATGCGTAAATGTCGGGGGGACGTGGGGGACTGGATCCCCCAAAAATCTGAAGCAAAACGACTTTTTTGGTAAAATTATCGTCATTTTCTTTTAATGAAAGGAATCCCTGGTAGCTGGGTTAGAACTAAACTAAGTTTTTCTGCGTTATTGCAGCAAACCTCAGCAGATGTCATGGTGTCAAGCGTAAGTTGACTATTGTTGATGGCTGTTATTTATGTTTGCAGAGTTATGTCGAGTCAGTGACGATGCCCACGGGGAGGATTAGCTCCAAATATCTTATCCACCGGTCGCCCCTTGAATAAATCTCAAAAAAACATGCAAGTAATAAATCATAAATCTTGACAAACCCACATTACATAAGTTTTCCTTACACGCCTTTTTATAAAAATCCTAACTCAAAATCTAGGTCCTAATGTACCTAATTTTTGAACCTCTATTAGTCGAATTGCGGTACCAAGAGACCTCCATACTAGCTTCTTAGTTTTAACTGCACATTTAGTGGCATGATAATAGGTGTAGCTAGAAAACATGACCAAAAGATAAAGGGGACAAGAAGTACAATTGAATTGCATAAAAGTACCACGTCAATAGAGAAGTACTTTTGCATTTAATATAGAGAGAAGCAATGAGTACACTCTTTATTATTAGAATGCAATAAATTTTGCCCAGCAAAGATTTTTTTAAGAAACTTTTCATTTTGAGCCCGTATATGTTCTTAGATACAACCTTATTTTTTTCGAATCCGATATGGTTTCAGGAAAAAATCGCTTGTTCTCGAACCTCGAATAGAAAACACATTTTTCTCATTTCCCTAACGTCTGTCACTAGAATTTAAGCATAACTTTTTCCCTCCCCAATTTCTCACAGAAACAATAATCTATGTTCTTCAGAGAAACGTCGATTGATTTATCCTGAATGGTATAGTATTTTGTTAAACTTGGTCTGGGAGATGAGCTTTGAGCTATTCAGAAGTTATGATTACAAAAACATTCTTCCGCATCGACCCCAACAAGTGGGTCATCCTATGTCATTGAACTTGATTCTCAGCTCCCAAGGTTCAATTTCTTCGAGCTGTCTCTGAACAATGTTATAAACCCAATTATAAAAAATTCAACGTGCTAAAGAAATATCTGTAAATACCTTCTTTAGAACTGAAATAAACCTTGATACAAAGCTAAAAATCTTTTTTTGTTTTTTGCGTCGTTTGCCCCTCAAACTGTTTCCATACACACATACCATAAATTGCTTGGTGGTGCCATGACCCAATGCACACTTTATATTCATTCGCTCTGCTGACACCCACCCCTCCCCCCCATTGACAAGACAGATTTACGGCCTTGATGTCATAATTTGTATTTTGAATATCTAGGCTTGTATGACAAGAGGGTTCGTTTATCGTTATCCTCTCTTCACAAATTTGCTGAATATTTGTTCATTTTGTCTTGTATATTATCAAAATCCCTTTTGTCAAAATACGAAGATATATGTAGAACGAAATCTAACTCAATATTTGCAACACTCAGCAAGCTGTAACCAGGTACTAGATTTAATTAAAGTAATGAGTGTGGCAGGCGATCGAAATCAATCTATTAGAGTTCACGTGCACAATTTCTTGTTTGGTTTACATACATATTTCTTTCGCCATGCCTTGGAATGAAGATGAAATATTTTTTACTACGTTGCTGGAATTATACCTTGTTAAAAAGCGAAAATGGGCGTTGTCCAACTTTTGCCCAAGACTAAGAGCGCAGCCACAGAAAAACGGACCACGCCCATTTAGGAGCCTACTCAAATTAGGTTTGAATCCTTCACTGGTCTCCTATCTATTCCCAGTTTCTGTCTATAATTCAGAGTTGGATTTTGCTTTTTTCATGGTCAAATTAGTCCTCTACTTGGACATTCCGAAATCGTTCTCCAGTTAGAGGTAGCTACAATCTAGGCCACAATACCCTATTCAAGTTTTACTGTTACACAAAATATTATACTTGAAAAAGTACGAAAGATGGAGTAACAGTAATTCTGGTTTACCTGTACACATTGTGCCATTGCCAACGAAACCAGGATTGCATTGACAGGAAAATGAGCCATATGCGTTGATACAGCTTGCATTAGAGTTACAGTTATGGACACCTGTACTGCATTCATCGAAATCTGGTGGGAAGAAACACGTGTCAAGGATATCTAGATCTGTATTTTTTATGGGAGGTATAAAGTAAGAGAACATTGGGCTGCATGCAGTAGTGTAGAGTCAAAAAATGAAGAGGGGGAGGGGCATAGCACTTTCTCTATAATATATATAAAATGAAAGTTTCAATTGTTTTCGTTTGCATGCCTCGTTAACAGGGCTTTGGTGAGACAAGCGTTGTTGGAGGGGGGGGAGGGGGTTGTAGACTACAAATTTACCTGATTGAAAAATAATTCCCTGAAATTCTTTAGTTGCTGACACAAACCTCTGCAATAGATTTTTTCAATTTACTTAGGTTCGAAGATGACTAATCTCGTTTTGGTTTACCTAGCAAGACAAGGAACCTTATCAGATCAGTCCACAGCCTCTTTCCTTCCCATTTTCTGCATCCGCTCATTCTTAGCTATCGCAGCAATCTACAATACTTTATCGTCGGGTTCATGAGGCTCTGGTACCCAGGCAGTTGCGGTGCCAGACACCAGGCTCTGCCCCAGTTGCAGCGCCGCTACTGTATCCAGGATAGCGGTGGATACGTTTCCAGCCTATTAAAACCAGAGCAACTCTGAAACTCCTCTCTGAAACTGCCTAGGTTGCAGGCACCACTAGAAGGAAAGCCAATCTAGTAAGGAGTTCAGAACACAGCATTTTCTTCTTTTTAACGTTATTTTAAAGTTTTTTAAATTACATTCATCGATAGTGCCTCATTGATGATCAGTCTTTTTGCATAAATCAGTAAGTGTGATTACAGTGATTGTATGTCAGAATCATCCTTGTAGGATGCACACCTTCTTGATGGATGAGTAGATTTTCGAGCTCGACATATTTTTTGCGCAACCTCTTGGTTGGGCCTATCTTGAGTCCTTGAATCCGAAGCCTCTTTGTAGATCTTTTCGTGCTGCATTGTTGAGAAGAACAGGCTGTGTAGTTTCAATCTCAATACAAGCTATCTGCTGGGAAAGTGCTGGAGGATTAATATTGCACTCAGACTTCATTTTCATTATCAACGCCCAAAAGCTGCTAAAATCTTCTTTACTGCTCATTGCTTCCGGTGATTTAGTAGTCGAGTCAAGTGTGCAACGGTTTGACCATTTGCAGAGACATCATGAGCATCAAGTGGTACGACACGATCACAAATTAAGAAATCCTATCACGTGGTAACTTGCCGCCAATGGCTGATATCCGCATTCAGAAAAGCTTGAATTGGCTCGGCCATGTTCACAGGATGGAACGTCATCGCCAATTGTTATACTCACAACTCTATAATGGCAATCTGAATCAATGAAGATCTATGCTCAGATTCAAGGATGTGGCCAAAGAAAAAGGAAGTGGAGAAAGATTGAGAGAGAGGAGGGAAAGAGAGAGAGAGAGAGAGAGGAGGGAGAGAGAGAGAGAGAGAGAGAGAGAGAGAGAGAGAGAGAGAGAGAGAGAGAGAGAGAGA